TTAAATGACATAAGGTATGGGAAGGGTTAGCTCAGTGAGGCAAGCATGCTCCAGTAGAGGGGTTATGCCTGCCTGTAAGGAAGGAGGAGCAATGTGACAGTTCTGTTTAAAGTTCAGCTACAGAACTATGATGTGAAGTTCCTGCTTGACTGGTTTCAGGGTTCTTGGTAACAAGGAACAGACAGTTTGAGAAACTGCTCAGGGACATAAGGATCATGTAATTTGCCTCTGGCAAATTTTGAGATCTGTTTCAGAATGAATTGTGCTTTAAAAATATCTCCCTCACATGCCTCATGACCAGCAGATTTGGAGTTGTCTGATTTCTAGGGGTCTTGAAGCTGGACCACTTTAGAATTAGACCCAATGATGACAAAAACATCCAATGTCCCAATTCCCTTATATAACATTTTCCTGTGTGTCCTGGGGCCATACCCATGCCAGCCCCCAAAACACTATCTTTCTGAGCCTTTTGAAAGCAGCACTTCATTGGTCTTGTATCTGTAAACCAATATCTTCATATAGTCCAGGCACACATGGCTTAAAAGCAGGGATACTTTCTGAGTAATGCATCATCAGGCAATACCATCATTGTATGAACATCAAAGAATGTACTCCCACAAACCAAGATGGCTATGATCTTAGGTGATATAATCCTATGTGTGCTCTGACATTGACTGAAACTCTTATGTGGCACATGACTGTATCTAGAACCTAATAGAAGCTCAAAATGTATGTGTTGGTTGAATAAATGAATGAATGAATGTATGTTGGGAAAGGCCAGTGGATGCCTCAGACAGAACCCCAAAGCAGGTGTACCTTGGTCAGATCTCCAGAATCAACTTCAGTTTTGTAGGTACAAAAGTTCAATTTGTGAAAACATCCAAGACATGGCCACAGATGAGGGGACTTTTTCATGCTAACCATTCTTACAAGTTTATGTATGTATACCAGAAAATCAACTTACAAACTGTACATTTATAATTATACATGTGTAAAAATATACGTACACTAGTGTCCATGGACACAGCTTATTCTGCATGATAGCTACATCTTCATAGGGACTCATGGGATAATCAGAGGATTCCAAGAAAGCCTGGAACAGATTAAGATTAATTACACCCCCTACCCCCTGTCACAGTTCCTGGCCCCAAGAATTCTGGCTCCTTTTGACGTGATAAGGGACTGTTAGGTAGCAAAACCTGTGTACTTCTGCCCCTTGTTACTTCCCTGCCTTTTCTCCTTGAAAGTTCTGTTAAGTTTCAAGAAATTTGGAGATGGGCTCTTTGAAACAATTAAGTTTCTTCCATCTTTCTTCAAAGCAGGCTTTGAGTAAAATCTATTTTCCTACCGATTTGACTCCAAATATTTTCAAAGCAGGGAGCTTAGCCTCTTCTCTCCTGGGAGGGATCTGGACCTGCTGAGTAACACTTCCATTCTGAAAGCTATTTTGCAATTTTGACTCCCATCAAGAAGTGGAATCTATTTCCCCCTCTCTTGAAACTGGTGGATGCTTTTGCAACTTGCTTTGGGTTGTAGCCTAATTCAGAAGCACTGCAGTTTCACTCCGCTGTCTGGGAAGCTTGCCACCCTGCAGAGAAGCTCAGCCTGACTACTGAGTGAGGACAGTCTGCACAGACAGGAGAGGCTGCACAGAGGTGAATGAAGAAACCTCTGCCCACAGCTAATACCAAGGCCCCAGGCCTGTGAATGAGGTCATTTTGGATACTCCATTCCCCATTTTGGATACTCCATTCCCACCCTAGCAGTCACCACAAGGAACAGAGATAATCCATCTGTGTTAGCCAGATTTTCATTCCTGGCTGGGCTTGGAGGCTCATGCCTATAATCCCAGTGGCTCAGGAGGCTAAGTCATGAGAATTGAGAGTTCAAAGCCAGCCTCAGCAATTAATGAGGCCCTAAGGAACTCGACAAGACCCTGTCTCTAAATAAAATATTTATAAAAGGGCTGGGATGTGATATAGTGATTAAGTGCCCCTGGGTTCAATTCCCAGTACCAAAATAATAACAACAACATGCTTTTGTTCTGATTGAATTCAGACCCTGTTCAGTTACGAAGGGACAACCACATTTAAATTACCAGCGTCTTCCTAACTTATTTTTAAAAAATATTTTTTTTTAGTTGTTGATGTACCTTTATTTTTTATTTATTCATATGTAGGCTGAGGATCAATCCCAATGCCTCACAAATGCTAGGCAAGTGCTCTGCCAATGAGCCACAACCCCAGTCCCACCAACTTCTTAATATTTATTATCTGTCATAAGCCAGGCCTTGTCCCAGAAGCTAATACAACAGAAAATGAGACAAAATCCTGTCCTCAGGGAATTTACATCCTAGAGAAACCTTAGATTGAGAAAGTTCTAATTTTTGTCTCCATATAACAGGAATAGAAATATAATGGCTTCAAGTACAATGGGCCCTAAAAACAACCTGATGACCATTCAAGCTTTCCCTACTTCTTTATTCAGCTCATAGAATTTTACATGAGTAAATGGCCAAAGTCCTTCATCCTATGTTTTTGAAACATAAAGCAGTTTGGGATTACCTTACAGATGCACACTTGGGGACCAATAAAATGGAGGAACCAAAATTGCTTTCTGTGTGGAATTTAATATGTATTTTTTAAAAGGATCAAAGAAGTCATCATGGGAAAAATCAAATTTTTATTGCACTTCCTAATACTTAAAAATTGTTGTATTGTTTTATTTTGAATACTTATGGAATGGAGGGGTCAAGGAAAAAAAATGGAGGAGCATCCTTTGGGAGCACTTAAAAATGGAGTCAGAAGAACTCGTCTGCTGGCCTTCTGGACAGGAACCCCTTCATTCAAACTACCCAAAGACTGAGACCACACCCAATCCCTTTCTATAAAAGTTTAACTTTTGCTAGCACCAATGAGAATTACTCCTTAATAAATGATGTAATTTCCAGCCACCTTGCAGTTTGAAGCTATAAATACAGCTACCATCTTGTAAAACCTCAAAGCACATTTTCATTCATGTTTGATTACATGTTTTCCAAGATTTCCATACTAATTAGTCTCAAATAAATGCAATGCTCTTTATTCTTGAACTGGTTGAGTTTATTCTAAATTGACAATAGTATCGTAATCTTTCCAATGCATAAGTCCTCTAAAAAAATGTGCATTTTTTCTACCCCTCACTGGATGTTTACTTCAAATACAGTACTTGTTTTCACACAGGGTGATCATCTTCCAAAACCAGTTTTTATGTGAGTAGAGCTTCCAGATAAATAACTTCCCCTCTTCACAGAAGCTCCCTGTATTTCTGGTAGCTTTTACTGAAACCTCTCTGTTAGGATGGCCTTAGGCCTGAGCCTAAGCAACTCCATTTTAAAAACTCCAGTTTGAAATCTGCAGTCTCACCAGGCACACCCACAGAGCCCTCCAGTATGGCCACAAACAAGTTACTTCCCCTCACCCTGATAAACAGAGTAAAGCCCCTGGCAGGCTGTCCTCCTCTGATAAGAGGGTAAGACAAGAAGATCAGGATGGAGACCACCACACCAGACATTTCTGACCATAGGGTAAATGATGTCACTGAGAAATCCGGTGGTAGCTGATAAGAATTGAAAGGGGGGTCAAGAGCCCCAAAATTTAGTATAAATAATAGAGCAAATGAACAGGGATTCAGCTGGCCGAAATAAGGATGTACTCGAGCTGGAGAGCCTGATGAGGACCTGACATCCCATCACTTGTCATCATTTCCTGAGCCTCTGTGTGATCTTCACCACTCTCAAACTCTACTTCTTCGCCTGGACCTTGGTGAGAGCCAAAACTTCTTCTTACAACCCTGTCCTCAATTGGCGGTCCATTCCACACCAGGAAAAACCTGCCTTGGTTCTGGATTAGATCACTGCGGTCTGAGTGAGTGTGCATTTTCAGGACTTAAAGCCTAAGGCTTAAGACTTTTTAACTTACATGCAGAGGAAATGTCTGTTATTAGACTATCATGATTAAGTGTGTTTTGCAGTGATTAGAATTAATATAGAATTGTTTGCTGTGAATTAATTATGTCTATTGCAGTGCCTAGCATTAGGGATTGTTATTGTCTTGATTAAGAACCTATAGAGTCAAACTGTATTGAATAATTTGAGTGAATAAAACATTGAAAGGGGCAGAAGCACATGGACATTATTTCTCCCTGACTGCATATGTCACAATTTTGCCCCCTGGACACTCTCAGAGGGAAAGCCTACTTAGCTATGTAGGAGGGGAGTAAGTCTTTGATTCTCAAAGGGCACACACATTGGAACATCTAATTCCAGGATGCCTCTGGTCAACATTTCTTTAGCCACAATCTTTCTCCAAGTATACTTTGTGTGGGTTGAAACCCTTTCTTCTTTTCTTCATCAGTGCTACTCAAAGTGCTGCCAATCAGGTGACTTAAAAATCTTAAGTCAGCAGTTAACTACCCTTTTTTTGCAGATAAGGAAACCGAATGTCAGAGAGGTCAACCTTGCTTGCTCTTTTAATTCCTAACTTTCCTTTTCTTTTCAAAATCCACTAAGAACAATGTTTTGAAACCTGCATTCACACGAATTAGGATGGATTAGGGCGCCTATGCTACCGTTCAATACAATTTATCTCCTCGCACTTAATCCTAATAATCATCACGACCAGGAACAAAGCAAATCTCTGAGGGGTTGACCTGCATAAGGACACAGCTCCTAACCGAAAAGATGGCACTCCAACCCGATGCGAAATCCTCATCTAAAGTACCAGCCCTTTCCCGGTATTATTCTCGCTGGCTCTGCGCCTCCGGAAGTCCCGCCCTAGGCCAAGAACAGTTTCCGGTAAAAAAAATGACGCATAGAAAGCCGGAACTGGAAAAGGGCGGGGCCGCCGTGGCGCTCTAGCATTCCTTCACTCTATGGCCGCCGCCGATTGACAATCCCCCCCGAGAGGCAAGCTTCCTCTCAATTGGACGCGTAGGCTTGTGTAGGCGGGCCTATGGTTTACCTGTACCCTGGTTGGCTGGGCCCACCACGCGGAGTGGAGGGGCGGTGCTTGGGGCACGCGGACCGAGGTGACCGGCTGCCTTCTCAGCCCAGGTGGAGACAGGCGCATGTGGGCGCTTCGCTCGCTGCTGCGGTCCGTGGCCGGGCGCGCCATGTCTCAGGGACCCGCCCGCCGCCAGCGGCCGCCCAAGGACCCCCTGCGACACCTGCGCACGCGGGAGAAGCGCGGCCCGTCATGGGGCCCTGGGGGCCCGAACACCGTGTACCTTCAGGTAGTGGCGGCTGGCGACCGTGACGCGGGCGCAGCGCTCTACGTCTTCTCGGAGTACAACCGGTCAGTGCTCCGCGTACGGGGTCCGACTGGGTAACTGCGGTGTCCCCTTACTGAGCCCCACCCCGCCCTAGGGGCCCTACACAGCCCTCGGAGCTGTGTAGCCCAGGAGCTTCGTGGCACCTGTCAGACTCCCACTTCCACACGTGTTGGACTTCACCTTCTGCTCTTTGGGGAGTGTGGGAGAGACCCCGGATGCCTCACATCTCTCGATCCATAAGGTTTCCAGGCTAAGCGTCTTCTTTCTTCCCATCCCTTAAACCAAGGGCTGGCTCTTGGCATTCTCTTTCCGTGCACCCCAAAGGCGTCCTCTTAATTGGTGTCTAGGTTAGACAGATCTGTAAATGAGCTGATGGGAGAGAAGTCCCATCTCGCCCCTAACCATCCTCTTCAGGCCCCATGTCTCCTGGCCTCTGTTAAGAATTATTCCAAACCTACTGTCCTAATAGAAGTCAGTTCACTTGTACAACATATATTTTTAATTGTTTGGCTCACAGTCTACAGCAAAGCATTTTTACTGGTGTCGGAGATTTACAGGATAGACTCTTCTGAGTGTCTTTGGTAATGTTCCCTCATTAGGTATCTCTTTAACTGTGGAGAAGGCGTCCAGAGACTCATGCAGGAACACAAGTGAGTCAACAATTTTCTTTTGGGGATAGAGATGATTATGGGGCTTGAAACCTGGGATGAGAGACAGGTGTGTTTCTGTAGCAGAAATGGTCTTTGGTCAATCCATTTTCTATTACTGAAATGTTTTCTCTTTCTTAGACTGAAGGTTGCTCGCTTGGACAACATATTCCTGACACGAATGCACTGGTCTAATGTTGGGGGATTGTGTGGTGAGTAAATTCTTTATAAGCTCAGATGCTGACGGAAATTTAACCCGCCTTTCTCTTTTTGCCCCTTTCCCAATCTAGAAGAGCTGGGATTTTTTTTTTTTTTTTTAATTGCCAGCCCAGTCAGCTGCAGTTCAGAGCATCAAAAGCTCTGACTTAGAGCCAAGTATGCCTGTAATCCCAGCTAGTGGAGAGGCTAAGGAAAAAGGATCATAAGTTTGAGGCCAGCCTCAGCAACTTAGCAAAACCCTGTCTCAAAATAAAAAGGTCTGGGATGTAGGTCAGTGGAAGAGTGCCTCTGGATTCAGTCCCCACTCCTACAAAAAGAAAACTGTGATTCATCAGGGCAGGTTTTAATGTGGATCTGCCTCCCAGTGTTACTATTCACTTGGTTTCTTGGGTTGCTGTGCCAGAGGTTTAACTGGAAAGTAGAGTGGTTAAAGTATGTGTATTTATCATGAACAGCATTATCAGCTGTACACAGTCATGCGCTATCCAGGATATCTCATTGTTCATGTCCATTGACTGAGAAGGTCAAGATTATTTTGCAGCCAAATTCTGTAAGCCTGGTAATGTGGGCAGGAGGGAGTGGCATACTAGACTGGTCCCTGATTTCAGAGCTGACTGGGGTAATGTACATGAAGTGCCTATGGTGCAATCTATACGGCAGTCCCTGTACTTTGTATAACTATGAGAGTGAACTCCTCTGAACATTTTACATAGTAGGTGCCTCACTGCCTCATCCCCTTATCATGTTTGTTCATTCCAGAAGCATTTGGTGAAGTATTACTGTCTCTTTAGCTAGCATCGTTTCTGCTCTCCAAGAGTTGCCTGATGACTGTATAGAGGGAAGACATATATAATGACTGTTTAGAAGCTAGAATGAGGACACACAGATAAATAACTCCTTTAAGTAAAGGGTGCTACTCTGCCTGGCTGTAACTACTGGCCAAGTTGATCAGAGATCTTATTATATTCCTCTTTTTTAGGAATGATTCTTACTTTAAAGGAAACCGGGCTTCCAAAGTGTGTGCTTTCTGGACCTCCACAACTGGTGAGTCTCTCCTGACTCACCTATCAAAATCAACTCCTCCTTTCTTAGTGTTAATTAGAAGAATGTTTATTTTTGCTAATCAGCCTTCTGCCTTCCAGATATAACTGGTTGTGGCATAAACACATCACCTTTCAAATTAAAAATAAAAAGATCCCAATTTAAAACCTTCTCAACTCTCTGGCCTTGAATGAGTTGTTTTCCCCTTTGCCTCCATCTCTTCATCTATAAAGTGGCTATGTTTCATACATGTGTTAAAGACTAAATAAAGTAACATATATCAAGCACTAAATCACCTTTTAGATGTTCAGTGCCAAGTAAGTACTTAATAAATTACGATTTTTATTCTTTATTAAATTTCAGGCATCTTCATACCAATGAAGTACTATTAATACTGTCTCTAAAATAATGCCTGAAGTCTATCTGTTTCCATCTCCTTGAGGGCTTCATTGTCTGTCACCCACACCTATTTACAATAGCCTTCCATATCTGTCCTTGTGATCCATCTGCCACATAGCAGCTAGAGGGACCTCTTTTTAAGATATAAATGCAGTCAGTTCCCAACCTAAAATGCTTCAGGAGCTGCTGTCCATTGTAATACAATCCACGTGCCTTGATATAGCCTACAATTCCCATAGGCCTCAGGTCTTGTCCACACTTTATCTGTATTTGTCACCAAGCTACAACTACAAGGGCTGACGCTAACCCTCTGTCACACCAAAGCACCTCCCATCTCATGGCTGTCATCTGTACATGAATTTCTTCTGCCTCCTCTCATCTCTGTCTGTATCCTTACCAGATATTCAGAGCTCAGCTAAACGGTCAATTCCTCTGGGTCTGTCTTTCTAGACAAGTTGACCTCAGCCTGTGCATTTTTAATTGTTCCTATAGTGCACAAAACCATAATTGCCATTAAGATGTTGTATCATTATTTATTTTTTTTCATTTTTGTCTCCTCCATTAGATTCATGGGAGTAAGGCTTTATGTCCTTTGCACTGCTAAATCCTTGGCATCAGTGTAGAGTAGATATAGTAATTATGTGTATAAATGAAATTCAAAATACTTATTCACATTTGCTTTATGTTCATTGTCTGTTGATTCCATTTATATGTTTAAATACATTACTGTGTTCTATATTTGTTTAATCATAACTGCTCACTTTATTTTTTTTTTTTCTTAGGAAAAATACATAGAAGCAATCAAAATATTTTCTGGTCCTTTGAAAGGAATAGAACTGGGTATGTCCTTGGCTGACTCATTGTCTGATATTTCTTTCTCATATACACTCTTCTTCTCAAATTAGAATCCATTAAAACCAGATTCAAATCTGAAAATCAAATACTTCATCCACATGACATGGAATTTTAAAATATTGCTTAATTACACTTTCTGTTTCCTCATCTGATACCACAAAAATACTGGGTAGGAAGGTAAGAGTATTTTAAAACATGTGCCTACTCATGTGCTGGGCATGTTATGTTCTCCATACCAGCTCCAAGTCTCCTTCCCTAGTCAAGAGATGGTTCTTATTGCTTGAGTTCCTTGCAGGAGGAAAAGGGGTGTGACAGTTTTGCCTCTGACTTTGTAGCTGAACCTCAGCTCCAGCTGTGTCTGGAGGCTCATAGTACTTGGCATCTGGGGATGCTAGCAGGTACCTCATCCCAGGGCCAGTCTTTGGCTTGTTAATGCTCCTCTTTTATAGTCACACTCGTCTTTTATTTCAAAATGTGTACCAGCCATTATAATTGAGATGATAGGTTCTTTAGCATCATAATCCTATATGTTAACGTAGGACAGTTCGAGTACAATATTAATGGATAGTTACCAATGATCACAGCATGTCTTTTCATTTGACTGTGTAAAAATAAATGGCTGCTGAAAATACAGTTTTGTTTCTTTCCTTAAAAAATGTTAATCTACTCAGAAACTTTGGTTTTAGTGGCAGATTTCCACCAGAATTCTGGGGCTCATGGTTGCTGATCTTGAAAGCTTATTTTCACATGTGTTTACTAATATAATTACTGTCCTGATTTGTGATTTTCATGCAGCTGTGCGGCCCCACTCTGCACCAGAATATAAGGATGAAACCATGACAGTTCACCAAGTCCCCATATATAGTGAGTACAAAAGCCAGGTTTCCTAGGGGAAGAAGGTATAGGTCCTGAGTTCGGAAAATGTGGGTGAAACCAAAAACTTTTGAATAATTGCTTTGGGTACCTTGCTTTGTGTTTTGAGCATGATAGGGAAATCTAGTTGAGGAATTTAGATTTGGTACCTGTTCTTAAGAAGTTTATATTCTTGGGGCTGGGGGTATAGCTCAGTTGGTGAGTGCATATCTCACAAGCCCAAGGTTCAATCCCCAGCACCAAAAAAAAAAAAAAAAAGTTTATATTCTTGTATCTGTAGGATATGTTGAACTCATGAATATTGATAATGACTGTGCATTGGAATATTCCATAATCGAGCATTATCAGAAAGTAGGCTGCATTCAGATGTGCATATTTATTGCTTTGGGTTTGTTTGCAATGGATCTTAGTACCCTTCTTTCTTGAAAAAGATTTGTGCAGGTCAATATTTTAAAATAAATACCAGTAACTGCAACCTAAAAGGGTGTTATCTGAACTCAGAAGCTCCTATAAAGTTTCTCAGGTACCAAAACCAGATGATGTGATTTGACTTGGGAACAGGGCATATCACTGGTCCTTGTGTCTGTTTAAACAGTCCGTGTGAGTTTTACCTACTTGAGAATATTGACTGGTAGGGACATTTACTCAATAGTGCTAACTAGTATGATGCTTGCCAAGTGCTAAAAGGCTGCAGATGAGAACATGTGTAAATGCAAGAGAAGAAACAAGGCCTGTGCCCATCAGAGGAAGAAGGGAGGGGAGCGGTCTGGC